TGGCTCACACCTCTCTTTTTTTTTCTTTCTTCTGCAGACTGTAAAAAAAATGTAATTTTTTTCCTTTTATCTGTCACTTTGCTGCAACGAAAAATCGTCCATAAGAAAAAGTCGTACATATTACCGCTAATAAAACTCCACTCCACTGAAAATTTGGATTTCGTCCGAATCCCGAAATGAATTGACTTTCGTACCCGAATCCCCAAAAACGAATGAACGAAAAATCCCAATGAAAACGAAATGCAACAAAACAATTTTTTTGCTGGCACACATGTCTAGGAAGCAACATTTTCACAGAGAGAAAAGGGTATTTTAAAGCATTTCCTAACAAAAAAAATGACACATCATCACATGTGCATGTGCAGGTACAGGACTTAGAGATAGAAATATGTGAGATTTTAACTAGGCTTTAAGTTAACCACAGACTCACAGGACGTGATCGGCGCCCCCCACCCGCCAGCGGACCAGACACTCCAGCTCCTGGCGGCACCAGCGGGTAGGACTGACATACCCCTGAGCCACCGCAAAACAAAACCTAGCAGCTCAGCAGTTCAGCAGCCTAGCAGCACCTCCCACACACAGGCATCCGACGGAACTACACCTCGACTCTGCAAGTGAAGATTCAACACCCAGACCCAGAGGAGACAGCCGGACTTCGCCTCCAACACGAATCCCGATGATTACACTTCTTTAAGAACCACACGTTGAGTTGATATACGCACTATACACCTCTCAACTTGCCTCTGTTTCATCTGCACCTATTTTGTTTCCTCTCCCCCCTTGATACTCAATACTCCACGGAGGAGAAATATCAATATACTGCTTCTCAGGCAGCATTACCTCTGCGTGCCCCAGCCCACTTTTTCCCCCTTTCATCTGTCCATCCCCATGGTAGTTGCACCTCAGACTTTGTTTGTTTTTTTCTGTTAGCACAGGTCCTCCTCCTCCTGTTTCTCAGGGCAGCACACTGTTCAGCCAGGGCCCCTTTCCGAGAGCGCTGTTTGTCGTTTTTTGTGTTTTCTGTTTTTCCATGCTCTCTTACTCCTCTCTCTTTGAGATGGCAAGATATATTAGTTACCACACAAGAAATATTTTACCTGACACCATGAAGCATCACAATCTTTGTAAACACAAAGCTTCCAAACATATTGACATATGAAACGTACAATGTAAAATCTATGACATTCCTTAGATCTCAAAGAAGACTGACTTTTTTTTTTTTTTAAATGCTGGCAGACCAACTCAGGCTCTCTGCAAACTCCTCCTTTAAAACCCAGCTTAATTGAACCTTTGAAGAACACCATTGCGTCACCACTTTTTCCCTTTTAACAAAACAAAAAGAACACAAATGGTTAAAATGTTGTATGCTATTATATGTTTGGCCATAGAACAAAATCCCAACAAATTATTTTTAAAGCAGAACTCTAAGTTCTTCTTTAAGCTTATGAGGGATTTTTGTGACTCTATATCATAAATATGTGACAGCTAACTATTAACAAAAACGTAGCTTATTTGTGTATCAATCAGCTGTAGATCCTCAAATCAACTTGTGCATTCAGGAATTTGTGCTGTCCTCCCTTCTGGAGGAGGGCTTCTTTTGTTTCCCCCATGGGATTGTAGACCCCACAGCACCCACAAACCAATAAATACATTGAACTATAATGAAATAAATAGAGACTATACAACAATATTAGCGGAAAAATTTGGCTGCGGCCCTTTATTGGGGTTAAAAGCAAAAAAAGTTTTTAAATAAAGTTCAACAACAGGTATATACATAAACTATTAAACCACTTAAAAATCTTCAAACATAAAACTTCAAACATAATCTAGCTCAGTCACCCAGACTCGAGCCATACTCATAACACCAGTCCAATATACCAGTAAACACTGTCCACCCACACATGTGGGCAACAATACCCACCAGCCAGGTTAAAAACTTGGTACCCCAACAGCCGCTTCAATCATAGGTTGAAGCCCTGAATTAAAAATATAATTTCCGATTGCGGATAAGTGCACTAGGTCATTACGAAACAAGCCAAAAATGTTGCCTTCCAACTCACAGTGTCTAAACGAAAACACTACTCATTGACAAAATATATTTACAAACTGCCCTATTGATTATCTTTCTGATGATATTCAAGAAGGCGAGATGAGGTTGGCACCACAACAACCTAGAGACCATTTCAGAAAAAACTAAGACAGCAGAAGGAAAAAAGAGTTTAATAGCAGAAAAATCTGATTTAATCTTGTTCAAAAGGTCCAAGGTTTTATAGTGACCGATATCATTGCCACCCAAGCACGCAGACAGGCAGGCAGAGATACCCTGTTTCCCCGAAAATAAGACCTACCCCAAAAATAAGACCTGGTACTATTTTTGGGAATTGCTAAATTATAAGATTTACCCCGAAAATAAGACCTAGCTGTGACCATTCCCAGGGCCGGTGGTGGCATAAGGGGGAACTTGAAGAGCCGTGGGAGAGAATCAGCGGTGCCAACGAAGCCAGCGCTAGAGGAAGCGAGGCGGCACCGGAGGGAGCAGAGCCGCATAAGCCGATGCTTCCTCTATAGTGCCAGCTCCTGTCACAGGCGGAGTGATACCAAATGCACTCCGCCTGTGAGGTATCGATAGTGAAAGTGCGCTTCGCTCAATCTGGCCAGCGATTGGTTAGCAAATTGCTCTTGGAAAGGTACAGCACCCCTGATTGCCCGATCACCATATTTTTCTACATGAATACGTTTGGATTGTTGTACCTAAAAAAAATGTTAAAAAAATAGGACCTACCCCGAAAATAAGACCTAGTGGGGGTTTTTTGAGCCCAAAAAATATAAGACGGTGTCTTATTTTTGGGGAAACACGGTAGATTGACAGAATACACTCTGGATAATGCCCGCTGCTGTGCCCAAAAAACATAAGAGTGACCTACAATCCAGACAATTTTGGGCGAACCTGAAAAAAAAGTGTTAATATTCAATAAATTGATAAAGCAGGATGAAAGACGAAAACGCCCAAAATCCCACCGACCAATGCGTTGTTTTATTCAGTAGCAGCCCCGATGCGGAAATAATGGGAAGACAAATGAAAGCGCTGCAAGCCAAGAACTGCCAAACATTTCTTAAACACAGCTGTAAATTGAAAGGAAGTGAGAGGAGAGCCATCAGCATGGCTACCAAAAAAGATAAAGAAGGAGGCTGCACTGCCAAAAATTTAGACACAAGCAAGAAAGGACAACAACAACCATCATTCAGAGCATGCAAGGACAACGACCTGCCCCTCCCTACCTGATCCATCTTAGAATGTCTAAAGTAAATGCAAACAACAGAGGCAGACAAACGTACATCAGAATGCAGAAGACCAGAATGAAGAAAACAATTTTTGCAGACCAGCTCTCATATATACGAAATGCCAGAAAAAACGCAAATGAAAATGCTAATTTAAACAATAAGAATTAATAAGAGTCAATGCAAACAGCGTCAGTAGCTAAAATCAGATGCAAACGAAACAGGAGGACGACAGTCAGATGCAAAGTGCCGTTTTTTAACACCTTTCAGAAACTGTTTAACAATAAAATAAGATAAACAAACAGGAGCAGAGTGCAGCTTTCTAAAGAAGGAAATACCAGCCAAAGATTTGTATAAATAAGCATGAGAAAAACCTTGTTGTAACAGCTCGCAAAGAAAACACAGTATCAATTCAGGAGAGTCAGCTAGAAAGGATGAATGAAAACTTGCAAAAAAGGAACACCACCTTTCCCAAGCTAAAGTGTAGGCCTTCCAAGTAGTATCCGCTACTGAAGACTTAATCACATAATTTATTAACTGGCAATCAACTGGAACAAATAAGCTGGGCACGGGAGACCCACTAATTCCGCAGTAGGAGCTAGATCCTGAAATCTCTGAAATCCTGACGGGAAAGATCATCAGCAATCAGGTTAAATTTGCCAGCCAAATCCTTTGCCTTAAGCCAAACATTACATTTAAGACAAAGAAAAACAAGGTGCCTAAGCAAAATAACCACCGGAGGAGATTTAGAAGCCAAACAGTTAACAGCATATAAAACACCCTTGTTATCCGGCTGTAAAAGTATTAGTTTATTACTGAATTGAGGTCCCCACAAAACCAAAGAAACTAAAACAGGGAACAACTCCAACAACATAATATTCCTTGTAAAACCAGCAGCATCCCAAGAAGCAGGCCATAGTTCAGCACACCAATGACCCTGCCAGAAAGCACCAAAACCAACACCACCAGCTGCATCAGTAAAAAATTTAAAAGGTAGAATCAATAACAAATTCCTCCTGCCAAAAAGAACGGCCATTATATTCCTAAAGGAAAGAGTACCAAACCTGTAAGTTCTCTTTTATCCCAGCAGACAATCGCACATGCAAAGACGGGGATTTAATTCCAGCAATCACAAAAGCCAAACTGCGAGAAAAAATCCTACCCATGGGCATAATCTTGGAAGAAAAAGCCAAGAGCAGAAGCAAGGATTTAATTTCCCTCACCATAGCCTTCTCCTTCCCAAGCAGCAAAGACAGTGAGATCCACAATTTCTCTATTTTACTAAGAGGCCATCTAAATTCCAAAGCAACCGTACCAATTTGAATACCCAGAAAATCAATAGTTTTACACGGTGCCACAGTCTTTCCAGGAGCCAAAAGCACACCAATATGCGCCATAAGCCTCTGAAAAGATGTCAGCAAACAAACACAAATAAGAGAGTCCCTAGGACCTACAAAAAGAAAATCATCCAGATAGTGCACAACGTTCCAGGCAGGGAATTCAACTTTTAACCTGCCGCTCCAGAAAATGGGCAAAGGACTCAAAATACAGGCAGGACAAAGAGCACCCCATAGGAAGACATTTATCAAAATAAAAACAATCCTCAAAATGAAAACCAAGAGAATTGAAAGAACCAGGCCAAATGGGCAAAAGTCTAAATGCAGATTTAATATCACTTTTGGCAAGCAGGGCACCAGAGCCGAACGAGTCGATGATGCAAATTGCTTCTTCAAAAGTGGTATAGGAAACTGATGCCAAATGAGGAGAAATTTGATCATTTAAAGAAGAGCCTTGCGGAAAAGATAAATGATGAATAATGCAATGTTCATTGTGCTCCTTCTTAGAAACAACCCCCAGAGGCGGCAGACGAGGAGGAGACGAGAAAGGTCCCGCAATCCTCCCTTCACTGAGCTCCCACTGAAGTTTAGAATGAACCACATCAGGCAATACACCCAGATACAGCCAGAACCAGAAAAGGGGGGAAGGAAAATACCAAAAGAAAAACCTTTAATGAGCAGAACCCTGATCTGAAGGTCTGGAAACCGTTTTAGACATGGCCACATGTTTATTAGGCTCACTGGCGTCCGTGCTTTTCAGAAAAAGCTCCTTACCAGCTAATTGGATAGGAGGTTTGGAACGCTTAAAACATCGAACCACAGGATGCAAACCACCACAAAAAGAGCACTTGTGGAGAAAGCACAAGTGTGTGGGAATCTGCACTGCGAATCATTGAATGCGAAACAAACACCCTTTCCGAAAAGGAACAGAAGGGGAGCCTGCAAAAGAGGGCTTAGCCAACTGTGACCTCTGAGGAAGCATCAAATTAAGCCACAGCCCAACATCCTTAGAGCCCCATTTCATCTGAGAGTGCACCACCATTTTTTGTCGGTACGACTCATCATAGAAAAACAAGGAGAGATTACTAAAATGTTTGTATGCCTCTAACACATTGTCAAAGTGCTGGAAAAGTCCAGAGCAAAGCTCAGGCCTTTTCTCACCCAAAACACTAGAAAAATGTAGAAAGCCTGCAGCCAATTGTTAAAATTCCTGGCTACCGGCCTCCTCCTATCCTCCTCAGCATCCTTCTTATCCTTAAATACATTCCTTAGAACTAGGTAAAAAGGATAAAATGTCAACATGTTCCCCACGCCAAATTTTTTCTTTAACAGGCAAGGGAAGGTGATACCCTAATGGGGAAAGGTCACAAGTCAAAGCCTCCTTATAACAACCTTCTCCTACCCCCTGCCTGAAAACTGGCAAAGAGGCAGCAGAAGAAGGGGGAATTGAGATGGGAGGTACATCAGAGGGAACATCAGATGGAACCCAAACATTAGCAGAATATTTATTCAAGGTTGTGGCCACGACCAGAGTAATAGGTGCCACACCCCTGGAAACAGAAATAACAAAAAGAGAGAAAGGTGGTTTTTTTTGGCACCAACTAAAAACTCCAAAGCAAATGGCGGTAAAAAATGTTTTTAATAATTATAGTTAAAGGTATGCGGCCCAGGGGCGGCAGTGCTGGATTCTGGTGGCTCGGAGGTGTGTGGGGGACAGGAACTTTGTTGCTATATGGGACCCCCTTTGATGCAATGGACAATTGATTAAGTGGCCCAAACGTTTCTTCTCCATGCTTCTATTTCATTGCATACCTCCCACCTCTGACTGCTTGACATTGGGTATTGGCCCTCGCTCCCCTATTTCTATTACTTGGGAGGATTGTTTGGGTGTGTCGCCCAGATAGGTCCGCTTGGTTATACACACATCAGACTGCGAAATTGATATTCTCCACCTCCTGAAGAACCGCCTCTGTGCGCGAAAACGTCGAGAAAATAATTTACTCCTCCATTACCAACTATCCGTAATGATTTCTTGTAAATTTTTCATTAGGTAATCATCCTAATCATGTATTCTTGAGGGGCCAAACAGCTGAAGGTGTCAGGAACGATCCAGAAGGCAGAGGAGGATGAACAGCAGCAGAAGGCAAGGCAGAACTCAGGCGGTCAGTCACAGAAAAGGCATTGGGTATATCCAGAGGCGGCAAGGAACACAGGCAGGAAAGTAGCCATTCTTCACCTCCCTCTGCGGAGGCATGACGGAGCACTTCTTGAAACAATGGATCCATCTTCACAGCAAGTTGAGTTGAAGAAGATTACTGCTGAGGAGAGCTTCTGACTGAAAACATTTAAAGGTGAGTCCAACAGCTAATTGGTTGTTTACTTTTCACGCCCAAACAAGGTTACTAATCACGTAGATATTAGTCCTGAGATCTTCCTAGTGACAGCAATCTCCAGGCAGAACTGTATTGTGACAGCTAGTAAGGGTAACCTGAAACAGATGAAATGGGGAAACCAGAAACAGCCCACAGAAAGTTCTAGAAATGCTGACAACAATTACTGTTTAAATTAAAATGATTAAATTAAGTGGGTGCAGGGGGTGATGCAATCCCATGAGGCCACTTCATTATATTTGTGGCCCCAACAGTCCCTGTGTGTTTTGTAAAGTAGCCACTGCTCCAAGCTCGCTTCTGTGATGGACTACAATCTCAATACAAATGATTAAACTAAAGGTGAGATTGTAGTCCAACACAGGAGAGAGCTTGGAGCATTGACTACTTTACAACACACACAGGGATCATAGGGAACAAAAGTAGCCACCCTCCAGAAAGAAGAACAGTGTCAGCACCAATTCAAAGATGTTTCCAGGATCTACAGCTGAATGATACACATATCATTTTTGTTAAAAGTTAGGGTACTTTGAATATTTTTAAGATTTAACTTTAAGAACAAAAAAAATGAATTTAGCCAATAATGGGCATTAATGGAACAGATGTAAACAGATGACATCTGTTTACATCTGTATACAAACACCTAGATCAGACCAAATGGAGACATGGTTCATTTCAATTGACGGACCTGAATGGACATGGATGGGCCATGCAAATGTAAATGGTCATTCATTTACATTTGCATGGCCATAGGGATAAATTAGAGCTATGAAAAACAGACAGAAGGACTGGCCCTGTGAAAGGGGCTTTAGAAAATTTAGAAAAACTGTACTTACGTGAGATTCCAAAGACTGTTATGTTAGCTGCCAGCTTTGCATTTGTTTCCAGACTCTAAAGACCCGGCCAGCATTATCCAAACATCAGCTAACTTGTCTAGATATTCCTAAAATTAAATCATAGGCATGTATTATATCTTATTAGCTTATCGAAATGTAAGACTGATTTACTGAGGGTGTTGTTATATTTTCTTAAAATAGCAGTAATCTTACTGTCCAATAATTCATGATTAATGCTTCACTACAGTAACTTTTCATACAATAACTGAATGTACAAGCTGATACATATACACTGTGCTAGCATACAGTATAGAAAGGAAGATACTGGAAGGTGTGTGGTTGTTAAATTAGGATTGTCTTTTTGTTTATTGGAGGACACAGGATTCTTTGACATTTGGGTTATAGAGGTTCACTAAGTTCACCCAATCTGTCATACCAGCAGTGGATGCTCTGGTGGCTCTGTACAAATGGTGCATCCTGATCTACACCTTTCCTCCCTTGAAACTCCTTCCTCATCTGCTCCACAGTATCCCTCGAGATGGAGGGCCTATTGGTGATATTCATAGCTCCAGACTGGCTCCGGTAGATGTGGCATTTCGACCTGACAAATACTCTGTGGGGTGTTCCAAAAGGATCAGATCTTCTGTTCCAAGGACCAGCATACCTGCTTCACAGTCACTGGCTTTAATGGCATGACTGTTGAAGCTCAGGTCTTGAGGGACAGGGCCCTCTCCGACTCTGTAATTCCGACAACATTAAAAGTCAGGAAGTTCACTTCCTGCAAGTTCTATCATTGCAAATGAAAGGTATATTTCACTTGATGTGAGGGAAGAAACTTTCACCCAGAAAACGCTTTGTGGGATGAATCCACACCTGTTTACAGTTAGGCCTGGCTCAACAATTGCCCCTAATTACTATTAAGGGTAAGATCTCAGCACTTGTGACCATAAGCCATTTATTCTTTGATTAGGATATTTGTACAGACTGCTTCTTTTGTGTCTCCCCTTGTTCATCCACCTTAATTTGGTTCTCCTGGCACTTCAAAAACTGCCCTTTAAACCTATTACGGGTGTTCCCCTTTCCATGCTCATGCACAAGGTTGTTTTCTTTTTTGTCATTGGCTCTGCAAGATGTGTGCCTGAACTTTCAGGGCTTGAACACGGTGGTATAAAGGCCTATAGCCTCCTTTCTTTCTCAAAGTGGTCTCAGCCTTTCACCTTAACTAGGGCATTGTGACCCCATCCCTCAATGTCAGGTTTCCATGAGAAGCAAAGTATATGATTATTGCTATGGGAAAGTCAACCATCCTCTCATAACCTTCAAAATGAAGAGTTAACAGATAAAAATGGAGCTTCTATCCCTCCCTGCCACTGACTGAGTTTCGACACAGGCTGAGCTCTGTTGAAAGGTTGACAATAAAATGCTCATGCTTTGACTTATCTATTCTGCAACCCGTGCCTCTTTACCCACTTTGGATTTGTATGGATATTTTCAGGGTCGGATTTCCCACAAGGCCCCAAGCCCCGCCTCAGGGCAGCAGGGAGTAGAAGGGTGGCAGGGGTGTGGGTTTGAGCTAAATGTAGAATGGGGAAGCTGCCGCTCGTTTTGAACAAGTGATCTCGGCAATGCTGAGATCAGTTGTAATTAGCCTGCTCACCCATCCTCCCCCACCACCCCCCCTCCATGGTCCGCCCCCACCTCTGGCTGCCTCTTCCCGCTGGCCGCCTCCCTCCCTGCCGTGGATTTCAGGGACCCCCTCTCTTCTGGGGGACCTAGGGCCATGGCAAGGTAGTTCAGGATGGAGAGCGGGGAACAGAGCAGATAACGTCCGTGTAAACGCTAAGACAGGAGAGCTGCACTCGTAGCCTTCCCATCTCAGCTGTCACAGGAATTCCAGCACAGTACTTTATCAAACTCCTGTATTGGAGGTGACAGGTTTGATAAAGAGAACCTGTTACCTTCGAATGCTAACACACATGAGCTTGTTAGTTCCTGTGTGATAGCAATAAAGTTAAGTGGGAAAAAAATAAAAAGCCGGCCCTGGATATTTTTGTAGATGAGTACCCAGGCATTTACCTTACCTGTCTTCCTAACAGTAACTTTTCATAAAACTCTAACACTCCTTTAAGTAAACTTAACCCCCTATTTGCACACGCATCTCTCCGGCATGTGGATCTTCTGCTTCAATTTCATGCAAACTATTTTTTTAGTGACTTAATTATTTAATTGCATAGATTCAGAGATTGTTATGTTTGCATATATAATTGTCATGTAACCTGCATTTGTAAAAGCATTTTTATTGATGATTTTGTATTCCGTTTTTTTATCTTAAATAATGTATACAACGATTTATTGAATAAATGTACTTCTAAGATTTTTATACACGAGGTCTGGACTTGTTTCTTAAAAGCCCCCTTTTTTTATTTTCCCCTCTGGGTCCTCGCACACCCCACTGTGGAAATACTCTTCTTTTTTTTTCTTGCATTTGAAACCTGGGGTGTGAAACTTCCAGCTCCTCTATATGTCTTCTGCAACGCATGTCTACTAATATTATCCCTTAAATACACACAACTATGTTTTCTCTTACTGTCATTCACCTCCAGGACATTGACCCAGAACCACTGTATACAGGATACTCTGAGCATAACTCATATATTCATTATGCATATTGTGCTTATTCTCCGTAGTCATCTGAGGTATATTACATACAGAAAGCCAAACCATGGAAAGAATATTGTAAGAGGAAAGTAGGTAAATATCAGGGAAAAAAATCTCACTTCACCTGGATGTTCCTGCTGACTTGAAACTTGAAAACTCACCTGAAACAAATGACCACAACCCTAGCGAAGCTCAACACTACCTCGATTGAACTAGTTTGTAGACACTGAATGTGTTTAGAATGATCATTTAAGTTACTATAAATTGGTTCTTCTCAAATAGGATCATCATGTTCTTGCAATATGCTTTTCACGTGGGATCATGTAAGTTTAATTATACATCTTTTTTATACTCCTTGTTTAAATGATAAAGCTTATAGGGTATTTTGGAAGAGAGATTTTAACAGCCCACCTCCTATATCAGTTCAGCTTTACATGGTTTGTATATCTCAGTTGGAGTTAAGTTAATGTAAGTTAAACTGTGTAGGAGTACAATATAAATTTGATGAAGTATGGTATGGTAACTAACCAGTGAAAGCTAAGCGATACACAAATAGGTTATATTTTTGTTAATAGTTAGTGTACTTAAATGCATTTTTAAGTTTTAATTCCTTAATGTAGTGCAACTTTAACTGCTTATTAAGGACGTTTTTGATGTGCTATTCTCTGTCCATTCAAGTGACTATATTTTAAAATTTTATATATATTTCATTCTCACTAAGTTTTTCATAATACTAGTGATAGTCACCTGGATCCAGAAAAAATATAGCCACAAAAAGTTATTTCAGAGTATGATACTAGTGTTCATAGATTCCACAGAAGGATGATGAGCAGCTGGTGAAATCTGAGCCGTGCTGTTTTGATTCAGTTCCTTAGTTACAAATAAAGTTCATTTATAAAGTGTGTGTCATTGGTGTTAAAAAAGTATTGCAGAGATGAGAAAATTAATTAAAGGGAATTTCCAAAGACAAAAAATCCCCTTTATAATTAGGGATCGAAATCCTACCTCCCACAGCCCCTAATTTAGCAATAAGTAGACTTTCCTTTGCTGAAATGCCCCTTTAGCAACACAAATATGGAAAATAGTAGTACATGGCCTAAATGTTAGGGATGTTCAGATACCAAGGACTAGCCTAGAGAAAAATGTAAAAGTTAGAAGGCAGCTGTCATTTTTAAGAAGCATTCGGGGATCCTGGGATTTGTGCATCCCTGTTTTAATGTATGATTTGTTATATAGATATTAGAGATGCACCAATACCATTTTTCCAGACCAAGTACTGATACTTGTCCACGTACTTACAGATACAAGTACTGATACATTTTTGTTTATTGTCATGTGAGTTTTTCTAAAATAATACAGACTAATGATTTCAGTATAGTGGTGGAGCGCCAGGGCCCTGTCACAACTGCGACTGCTGCAACCCTGGTAGTTCTCATGAAAATGCCAAGTATTGG